CACACACACACACACACACACACACACACACACACACACACACACACACACACACACACACACACCCCAACGTTACATATTTGGGGATTCTAACAAGATTTTAAGTGTGTTGACCCTGTGATGGATTGCCTACATGTCCAGGATGTGCCTCTCCTCTTGTGACACTGAATAGGATAAAGTTGGTTCTGAAAATAAATGGATGTTTAGACTGATTGTAGATCAGTAACAAGGGCAGCATATAGCAGTAAATAAATGGCTGCAACAACTGAATTTCACTGAATATCCCAAACACAAGTGGTGTAGGGGGATTTATTGTCTGCTCAGACACTCTGATTTGCCAATATAGAGTTGGGGAGGATGTCACACCTTCACCATGACTCTGGTTTGCAAAAATATTTTCTTTTCAGAGAAAAAAAATCACCCAACTGGATGATTTCCCAACCTTTGACCTCTACTAAGAAGCCAGACAGTTTGAGTGTTAGGTTTTTTTCTGCTTTGCGTATGTTTTTGTGTTTCTCATTGGGTGTGGTTTTATTTACAACCACTGGAAAAAAAAAAAAAAAAACTTGCATAGGTGTTTCTGGCCCAAGTCTGAGCCACTTATGGGACAACTTTTATTTCTAAAAGAGGTGACTCCTTGTCACTCTCTGCAAAACTGGTTCGACACATTTAGATTTTCTCTCCCTCCCATGTACAGTATGTTCCGTATGTAAAGGCAAACAACAAAGCCGTGTAATTAGAGCATGTGCCTAGACAGACACTTGGCTGGGCCAGGGCGGAGTGGTCCTCAGAGATGGGCGTTTTAAATGCTCCTATAGAGAGAGAAGGAAGGATAGAGAAAAACAAAACTTGCACAGGAGGGTGTGGATGTTGATGGATACTGAAGATGGGTGGCAACTAAACAAACACATGCGTGCACAAATGATTGCTTCAACATCAGCTCTAATTGCATTGAAGGGGCAATATTATGTGTTTCTCATGCATACATTTAAATACAATACCATAAAAAGGTATCTATGTCACCTTTAGTTGTTATTAAAATGCTGTTTTTATGTTTAAATAGAAAATAAACTTATCTTCTCATCACTTCCTCTTCTAAACTCCTTGAAATTGGCCTCTGTCTCTTTAAGAACCACCTTCTGCTTCCGTCCTGTAAGTTTCAGTGGGGGTGGGGGGTGGGGGGTTGTTTCGCGTGTGTGCCATGATGCAGTTTACTTGGCATCTGAAAATACATTTCCTCAAAGGTATTTTGAATCTGAAAAGAGCTTCTCCGAGTGAGAAATAGTGTTGAGAGCAGCCAACAGTTTAAGTTTTACTTTCACTTTGCTTTGTTACTGCCAACAGCGTGCAGGAGTCATGGGCGGGGTTTGTGGGG